GTATATGGCATTAATAAATTAGACATCCTAAAGTGCCTTCCATCCCCCAAGAATAATGATATTGAAAAGGACTCTCATCTGTTATAAAGTGACTTGACCACATAAGTGAACTATGAAGCTACAAGTGTAACAAATTGTTTAATGTATCTTCTTGACAATTTTTTTATTTTTATTTTGCGTAATGAGAACCATTTATTTCTCATTCTTTATCCCATCACACCCGCATTTCATGCAACTCGAACTCATAATCTTTTATTTTTCAGCGGAAGGAAATGGCTATTCAATTACTTAAATGGTTGACTCTTGAAAATATTTTTTAGAGATAAATATCTCATGAATTGAGGTATCTAATGAAGGAGACAATAGTTTCGTACCAAGTCCGCATTCCTCTCTCTGCGTTCCTAATTCAACAAAGAACAAGCTGATAACTAGTGATCCAAAGAGTCATTTGTTTTGGGTTGGTTCGTGTCAAAGATTAAAAAATGTTTATTTTTGCATTTCATAAATTATTATTCATTAATTTTAATTAAATAAATTAAATACTTTAAACTATAAAAAAACAATATATCATTAGATATCAATTATTTATTATCTGTTATATTTAATTGGTTAATTTTGTTTTTTTTTGGGGTAAAAATAGGATCGGCCTCACTCGGTCACACCAGATGGTGGTGGGCTTTCGTACTTTCGTTTCTTTGTGGGCTTTAAATGGGCCTAACAAATGCGCCATTTCCAGTTTATGTAATGATGGTTCGTGGTTCTGTCTGCGTGTGATGAAACGCCGCGGTCAAATTTTGATTTCTTAACAGCACCTGATCGGCGGCTTCATTTCTCTCTGGATTTCCGACGACGATGAGGCGGTGGGGTGCCTCTTCTACTTCGTTATCTGTAGATTGCTTCTAAAACTCTTGCAAATTGAAGTTGTTTTTTGGGAAAATTGGTTTCTCCTCCGTCGAATGCTTGGTGATTATTTATGCTTTTTACGCGCACCAAGTGTTCGATGAAATGCGCTGTTCTAACAATATGAAGTTGTTAAACAGCTCGTTTCATACGTGTGCGTGGTGTTTACTGTATTAATATCTCTATATGTTATTGTATGTGCTTGGTTCTTGCTTTGGGAACTTGTGTAGTTTTAGGTAGAACATGTATACTCATGGGGTTCATTGACCTGGAGTTTGAATTTCGTGCAGGTGGGGGATATGATTTGCTAATCTGAATTGGATCTTGGCGGGTGATGGTAAACATAATGGCTACTAAGGCAATGTTTAAATGGTCAAAACAAATCACCCCTTCTCAAGTGGTGCAGCTAATACGGGCTGAAAGGAACATAGACAAGGCTCTTTCAATATTTGACTCAGCGACAGCTGAGTATGCAAATGGTTTTCGGCATGATCATAATACTTTCAGTTTCATGATCTCTAGATTAGTTTCTGCAAACAAATTTAAACCAGCAGAAGATCTCCTTGATAGGATGAAGGAAGAGACGTGTGATATCAGTGAAGACATATTCCTTTTGATTTGTAGAGGCTATGGTCGTGTTCACAGGCCGCTGGAGGCCATCAGGGTCTTTGACAAAATGAAGGAATTCCATTGCAAACCCACCCAAAAATCTTATGTTACAGTGTTTGATATTCTTGTGGAAGAGAACCAGTTAAATATGGCTATAAGGTTTTACAGGTGTATGAGAGAAACCGGCATTCCAGCTTGTGTTGCTTCCCTCAATGTGTTGATTAAAGCCCTTTGTAAGAACAATGGAACAATGGATTCTGCTCTTCATATATTCCGTGAAATGCCTAATCGTGGGTGTCCTCCAGACTTGTATACATATGGCACTCTGATTAGTGGACTGTGTAAATTTGGAAAAATTAGCGAAGCAAAAGAGTTGTTCAAAGAGATGAAGACCAAGGATTGTTTACCGTCTGTTTTTACATACACCTCCTTAATACATGGTTTGTGTCTGTCAGCCTCCATAGATGAAGCCTTAGGATTACTGGAAGAGATGAAGAGCAAAGGTATTGAACCTAATGTTTTTACCTATAGTTCTTTAATGAATGGTCTTTGTAAGGTTGGAAAAACTTCAGCAGCAATGGAGCTATTGGAGACCATGGTCAGCAAAGGATGTTCACCCAACAATATCACTTACAGTACCTTGATTGATGGACTTTGTAAGGAAGGAAAGCTCCAAGAAGCTGTAGAGATTCTTGACAGGATGAAGCTTCAAGGCTTGAAACCAGATGCAGGATTGTATGGGAAGATCATTACTGGCTTCTGTCATATCAAAAAGTTTGAGGAGGGTGCTAGCTTTCTTGATGAGATGGTTCTTGAAGGAATCTCACCAAACAGACTAACTTGGAGTATTCATGTTAGGATTCATAATGCAGTTGTCCAGGGCCTTTGTACCAAGGGTGACTTAACTCGAGCTTTTCAGTTGTATCTAAGCATGAGGACAAGGGGTATCTCAATCACTGTTGAAATCTTTGACTCTCTTGTGCAATCTTTCTGTAAGAAAGGAGACTTGCTCAAAGTTACTCAGATAGTTGATGATATGGTGATTGATGGATATGTTCCAGAAAAGGGAACATGGATTGGGTTAGTCACTGCATTTTGTCATCAAAGGAAGGTTAAAAAGCTTGCTGAGTCATTACTGATTGAGGTCATTGCTGAACGGACATAGAAATTCAAGATCAAGCTATATGATTGAGTGCGTAACCACTGGTATTGGTTTTCTCTTATCTGACTCTCCTGTAACATGTTAATAAAACAGTTTCTTTTGGTTTTCTGAAATTTTTAATGACATGCACAGTTTAAAAATTTGACTGCATTTTGTAGACTTAGTTCACTATCATGTTCTCACTTGATTTGTTTTAGTTCTTTCTTATGCTCTCTTTGAGTTTCTACTATTGCCATTGCCAATATTTTTGAATCATATAGCATTGATTGATAAAGAGTTACTTTTATAATGAATTTCTAGATAAATGATCATTTTGACTGCTACTTTTAATGAGTTCAGCAACTGGATGTTTGGTGATATGAACTGGTTATGGTTCAATATCAATGGTGCTTGAGAAGATATCAAACTAGAAAAATGAGAAGTATATCGTGTTTAGAATAACTTTACAACTTTGGAAAGATTAGGGGCATCTAATCCCATAGAAACAAGTATTAATTTGCAGACAAGGGGAAGCCAATTCCATGGCGCTTGGTTGGAAAGACTACAAATAACATGCTGCATATTACACCTATCCCAACTGGCACTGCTGTGAGGATCTCTTGTGTGTCAACTGATGGTGTTGGGTAGAAGCAACCTACCACATTCTGATCAAATAGTGCCACAGCTGCAAAGACCAATATTGACAAGAAGGCATGCATGAAATCTATAAAATGCAGTCTATATTTTTCAGCAACTGCAGGTGGAAGAGTGTCTGACCCATCAATGACCCATAGACCATGGACTGTGGCAAACCCATAACAAACATTTCCATTCTCATCCCTGAAGCTATCTGTGAAGCTGGCCAGGAAACAAGATAAGCCACAGAGGGCTACAAGGCCAGCAGTCATGAATCGGCTGACAGGGTCACAGTTCCCTTGGTTAGTGAATATAGGTGATAGAAGTTGGAAAGCAAGAACTGTTCCAGTGGGCAAAAGATTGGCCAAATGTGCTGTGCTCTTAAAAGTTTGACTGATTGCCTTCTGTATCAGGTTTTTCTTCTTGCCATCAGGCATGGACTTATGATCTTGCAGAAGTGGCGCCTTCTCTTCATCCCGGTGATGTCCTGTGTGCTTAAAAGTCTGACTGATTGCCTTCTGTATCAGGTTTTTCTTCTCGCCATCAAGCATGGACTTATGATGTCGCAGAAGTGGTGCCTTCTCTTCATCCCGATGATGTGCATCTTCTCCTTTTACAATAATCTCCATGATCCAATACTTCTCAGGCGTGTTTCTCTTGTTGGTTTGATCTCCTTTAGGCTTGCATCAACATGTTTTCTCAACGGGCAATTGCGTTTATAAGCCATGGAGACAAGCGTAATTTGAGTGAAAGTAAAGGGAGGGAAGGTTGTTTAGTGATGCCTTGCAAGAAACCAGAACCCAAAATTTAGAAGAGAAGTTTTTTTGCCAGAATTCCAGAAAAGAGAAGTTCATTCCATATTTAGTTGTGTCAATTATAAGGATAAGGTTATGAGGAGCCAGCCCGTGGCATGTCCATGAATCAACTCTGACCGTTATCCAATCAAGCAAGGAGAGAGGAGTTTAATCCACTTTATCCCACAAGTCCTCTTCCAGTAGAATTTTTTGCTTAATTGTTATGCCAATCTTGCGGAGACGCAATACATGTGAACTGGCTGTTTTATTTTCTTTTCTCTGGCTTTAACGGTTGGTATCTGTATGTCATCAAGAATGGTTGTTACCTACATGTCATCTCATTTCCATTTTTTTTTATATAATCTGTTTCAAACATTCTTTTGCAGACGTGGCAGGGAAACGAGAGCCAGACTTCTCTTGCACGTCATACCCAGGAGCAATGGTGGTCTCATGGTATGCCATGTACGCATGATGCAATTTTTTTATTTCATTTAATCTGATGATCAATTGAGAATATTTAAGAGGGTTCTTGCGTAATCATAGTTTAACACTTACATTACACAATCATTATTTTTCAAAATTTCAACGGATTGTGGGATTGATAATAATAATATTAGCTGGGTATTTGCTTGGTTTCATTGTACTTCGTTTCAAAGCAACAGTGTGTGTATATATATAAAAAGTGTTTTACAAGGTGGATTATATGTTAAAAATATAGTTTACTTTATGAATTTAATTAAATACCTTTAATAAATTTTTTTTATTATTTCATTAAGGGTAATTAAGTAAATTCATAGGGTAAACTACATCTTTAATATACAATTTACCTTGTAAAACTTAAATCTCTTTATATAAAAATAATTTTATTAATCGTATCTAAGTAATTTCATGGTGGAAACTATATTTTAATATACAATCTGCCTTATAAAACTTGAATCTCTCTTTATATATATCACTTACATAAAATTTTAATAATTTATTTCTCTACTCAAAATAGTTGAGATTTTTTTTTAATGATTTTTTAGATGAAAAAAATAATTATCTTTGATAAATATAAACAAATTTTAACTTTTAAAAGTAGAGAAATAAATAGTTAATAGTATAATATATAAAATTTATATGTAAATAAATCTTTACTCTCATATATATATATATATATTTGGGTTCAATCTCTGCATAAGGTAAAGGTTATGTTACCAAATTCACTTGAGAAATGGATTAAGACCTTGACCTTTTAGATCCTAAGGAATAAAGCAATATCTTTTTAATACTAGGAATCCATTACTTAAATGGCTGTTTGGTTGGAAAGCCAAAGTTACTAGGAAGCTGGTTAGAAGAATATCATATGAAAAGTTAATAAGTATTGTATGAAAGATTAATAAATTTTATAGGAAAATTTTGTTATGTTGTTATTTTTTTATATTTGGTAAGAAATTAATATAAAGAAATTAGTAAAAAATTGTTAAATAGGTCTTATATGAAAGAATTAAGAAAAAACTTTTTTTAAAAAAATATAAAAATTTTTTGAGTTAAGACTTTCATTAGGAAAAATAAAAAAATAAAAAAAAATCAATTTTATGCTTATTTTATTATAATATTAAAATTTTACAAAAGTTTAGGGGCAACCAAACACGGAAACGCCCTCAAAAGAATATGTTTAAACATGGGCAGTTACGATATCCTTCGAGCCGAATAAGCATCAGGGTGTGGACCAGCTTCCTTCCAAGCTGAAATTGCGAGGAAGAAAAGTTATAGATACTGGCCCTTGGATCACAACCCAATAAAGTCAAATATAAAAAGGGCCGAGTCTTTTGGCCCTGCTTCACTTCATGGACTATCCAACATAAAACAGGCCATGTGGATGTGGTCTAGCCCAGTCCATGCAAAAACCTCTCTTCCTTTTCCAAATCAAACGACTGAAAAGTGGTACCTTCTTCTTCCTAGTTCCTACTCACCTTGACTACGCTTATGTCCTTCATAGGAACATGGGAAATGCATATTTTTTTCCTGAGTGGATAATTGCTATATTATTTGACTAATTCCTTGGTATATTGTATC